TCCCTCAACACTGCATCAACCACTACGGTTCCCAACAGAGCATGGGATTGAAGAAGTAAGAGGAGATCAACTGCAGGCAAAAACTTGCTCCATGGCAGCAATGAAGACTACTTGCAGCATTCGAAAGCCAAAAGAGGCAGAGATTGAAGACGAGGACATGGAGGTCCTAGAAGATGTCGGTAAGGAGCCGACCGAAAAAAGTGAAGAGACACTAAAGAAAATCCTTGTCCAGGAGGGCGACGAAGAACGCTTCTTTCTTCTCGGCTCAACCTTAGCCGAAGAAGAGGAAAGAGAACTGGAAGATTTTTTAAGAGCCAACATTGAGGTGTTCGCCTGGACACCTTACGAGATGCCTAGAATTGACCCCGAGGTCACTTGCCACAGACTGAATGTCGACAGGTCGGCAAAATCTGTGATTCAACTAGCCAAAAGACCGACGTTGATGCACGTCGAAGCAGTAGAAGAAAAAGTAGATAGACTTCTAGAGGCCAGGGCCATCCGAGAAGTTCACTACCCAACTTGGCTATCCAACACAGTAGTGGTGAAGAAGAAGAACGGCAAATGGAGGGTTTGTGTAGACTTTACCAGCCTCAACAAAGCCTGCCCCAAAGACAGCTTTCCTCTGCCCAAGATTGACCAGCTAGTAGATGCAACGTCAGGGCATGAAAGGATGAGTTTTTTGGATGCATACAGAGGGTACCACCAGATTGCCATGTACCCTCCAGACGAAGAGAAAACCGCGTTCATCACCCCTAAAGGACTATACTGTTACAAGGTAATGCCTTTTGGGTTGAAAAACGCAGGAGCAACTTACCAAAGGTTAGTAACAAAAATGTTCAAGCACCTGATTGGTAAAATGGTAGAAGTCTACATCGATGACATGGTCGTGAAGACCAAGGAAACTAAGGGTCATCTTGCTGACCTAAAAGAGGTCTTTGATATACTCAAAACATATCGGCTCCGACTCAATGCGTCAAAGTGCGCGTTTGGAGTTGGATCAGGTAAGTTTTTGGGGTATCTGGTAACGAGAAAGGGCATTGAGGCCAGCCCAGACCAAATCAAGGTCATCCTAGAGCTGCAAAGCCCGACGTCGGCAAAACAGGTTCAGATGCTTACCGGAAGGGCCGCAGCCCTAAACAGATTCATCAGTAAAAGCTCAGATAAATGCAGACCCTTCTTCAACTTGGTGAAAAAAGCCACAGATTTTCTGTGGACAGAAGAATGCGAAGCCGCTTTAACCGACCTAAAGAAGTACTTGACCACGACTCTGGTTCTTTCCAATCCAGAACCAGGGGAAGAACTATATTTGTACTTGGCAGTTTCAGAACACGCAGCCAGTACAGTACTAATCCAAGAAGAAAAATGGGAGCAAAAGGCTGTTTACTATGTAAGCAAAACTCTGGCCAGCGCAGAAACAAGGTATCTACCACTGGAGAAATTAATGCTAGCCTTAGTAATGGCTTCAAAGAAGCTGAACCATTACTTTCAGGCACATAAAATTGTGGTCTTAACTGAACATCCATTGAAGTCCTTATTACAACAAGGAGACTTAACAGGAAGGATAGCAGGATGGGCCGTAGCCCTAGGCCAGTATGATCTGGAGTTCAGGCCGAGAACAGCGATTAAAGGCCAAGTTTTGGCCGACTTCGTGGCAGAATTCACCCCCGAAACCACCGAACATCGGGCTCCGTTAAGCCAGGATGAGCATTGTCCCAGCAAGCAAGGAGAATCTCAGCCAAAGACCAAAGAGCAAAGGAAGGAAAAACTCAGACCCTGCAGCATCTACATCGGCGACTCATTCAGACTGTTTGTCGATGAAAGTTCAAACCGACAAGGAGCAGGGGCAGGAGTACTACTGATATCTCCAGATGGAGAAATAATAGAACAGTCCATCTGTTTGGGGTTCAAGGCCTCAAACAATGAAGCGAAATACGAAGCATTAATTGCAGGGCTAAAATTGGCAGCAGCAGCAGAAGCAGATGAGGTAATAGTTTTTTGTGATTCACAATTTATTGTTAACCAGTCCATAGGTGAATTTGCAGCCAGGGACGAAAGGATGTCAGCATATGCAAAAGAGGTCATCAGATTGGCAGCCCTATTTTAAAACTGCCGACTACTCCAAGTTAGCCGAGATGACAACACCCACGCCGACGCGTTGGCTAACCTAGCAAGTTCAATACAGACTGGAAAAACAAGGACAATTATGATCGACTATATGTCGGGCCCGAGCATAGAAAAAGAGAACACAGAGCAGCAAGCAATGTGTGTGGACATGGGGCCAAGCTGGATGGATGCAATTGTTGCATTCCTGAAAGAAGGAAAGCTGCCAGAAGATCGTAAGGAGGCACACAAAGTCAGGCTGAAATAGACAAGATTCTGTCTGACAGAAGATGGACACCTCTACAGAAGATCCTTCACTGGACCCCTTTTAAGGTGCGTACACCCTTTGCAGGTTGAAGATTTCCTATATGAAATTCATGAAGGAATTTGTGGAAGCCACGCTGGGGGCAAATCATTAGCCCACAGGGCCATTACCCAGGGGTATTGGTGGCCCTACATGCAGAAGGATGCTGAAGCCTACGTAAAGAAGTGTGAACAATGCCAAAAGTTTGCACCTTTGATACATCAGCCAGCTGCTGACCTAAACCCAGTATCCAGCCCTTGGCCGTTTGCCCAATGGGGCATGGATCTGGTTGGGAAACTTCCCCAGGCAACTGGGCAGAGAAAATACTTGCTGGTGGCAACAGATTACTTTACAAAATGGATAGAGGCAGAACCTCTTGCCAAAATCCGAGATGTGGACGTCAAGAACTTTATATGGAGAAACATCATCACCAGATTTGGTATTCCAAGAGCAATAGTTGCCGACAACGGAACACAGTTTGAAAGCAAACTCATCAAGAACTTTTGTGCGAAATTCAAGATCAAAAATTACTTTTCAACACCAAGTTTTCCACAAAGTAATGGGCAAGCAGAAGCATCCAACAAAGTAATTTTGGATGGAATAAAGAAGAGGCTGCAGGCAGCAAACGTGCTTTGGGCATATCGGACTACGCCGAGAAGATCAACAGGGGAATCCCCCTTTGCCATGGCTTATGGCACAGAAGCAGTCATTCCATTAGAGATCGGCATCCCAGGGATCAGGACCCAGGGAGTAGAGAATGGCACCAATGACATACTCTTGGCCCGAGATCTGGATCTTCTGGAAGAACGAAGAGAAAAAGCTGCAATTCAGCTGGCAGTATACCAGCAACAGCTTGCCAGAGCTTACAACAAGAAGGTTAATCAAAGAGAATTTCAAGTCGGCGACCTAGTCTTGAGAAAAGTCGTCGGCAACAAGAAGGATCCCAGAGAGGGCAAGCTTGGCCCAAACTGGGAAGGACCCTACAGAATTACTTCAGTATTAGGCAATGGAGGTTATCGGCTTGAAGATAACGAGGGCAAAGCACTGCTAAGACCTTGGAACACTTGTAATTTGAAATTTTTCTATCATTAGATGTGCATTATTTTTTGGCCGATGTCATCAATAAAGTTTTTTCAGAGTTCTTTCAACACATATGACTGATAAAATTACATATTCTTTGGAGACATGAATAATGAGAACCCAAGTAGAACTCAGGTTCACACTGGGGGCAGGGAGAACAAGAATGCGTTTACCACTTGTTGAAATTTGTAGCAATTTACAAGATTGGATAAACCGAGATGATGCTTAACCGAAGTTAAGCCGAGATTATTCCTTAATTCACTTGTTGAAATTCATAGCAATTTACAAGTTGGAATTAAGCTGATTCCTTATCTTCACTTGTTGAAATTTGTAGCAATTTACAAGTTGAAGTTAAGCCGAGATTACTGCTTCTCTTCGCTTGTTGAAATTTGTAGCAATTTACAAGCTGAAGTGAAGCCGAGGTTATTGCTTAAAGCCTTTATAGCAATATATAGGTTGTCTAAACCAAAGGAAGATGCTTAACGCTTGTTGAAATTTGTAGCGATTTACAAGCTGATGTTAAGCCAACATGTGATCATCCGTTGAAATTTGCAGCAATTTACAGGTTGAAGTAAAAGCTAAGTATATTGTTTAAACACTTGTTGAAATTTGTAGCAAATTACAAGTAGATCATTATTTAACACTTGTTATAACTTAAGAATAGTTTACAGTATATGTTAACACTTGTTGAAATTTGTAGCAATTTACAAGTAGGTTAGACCGAGATCACAGTTTACATACTTGTTGAAATTTGAGAAGAAGCTTGCAAAGTTAACATTGAGTAGTACATGTTTCATACTTGTTAAAATCTATGACAAGTTTGCAGGACAGTATCTTGCCGAAGTAAAACTTGTAGTTATTATACCCGAGGTATGTTACCCCGAGAAGGTTGCACAAAGGTGGCAAGATATGAAAGGCGTGTAACACATGCTAAGTATAGAATCACACAGAAGTAATCCAGAGAAAATAAAAATTGAAGCATTCAGAGGAAAACAGTTGCAGTTGTATACACACATCGGCCATAAGAGGGAGCTTACATTGTCCAGAAATTGAAACAAAGTACAAAGTACAAAAAAAAAAAAAAAAAAAAAGACATCAAAGTTGTGATTCCTCAGCCCCAGGAGCAGTTTAGGTCTGGACCTCGGAAGTTTCTTGCGAAACCACTTCAGCAACCTTCTCTGCCGCCAACTCGGCGTCAATCTTTGCTATTGTTTTATCAAGACTTCTTTCAGCCAGAAGAAGGTCGGATGATAGCTGCCCTGGAACAGCCTCCTTGGACACCTCCTCAACCTCACCATCCTCTTCATCTTAAGTTAAGTTGATGACCTACTCAGTGGAAGGAAAGGACTTGGCTTCAGCAGCATCCTTGGATTTCCTCACTAGGGCCTCATCATCATTGTTGTTTTCATCCTCAGCCTCAGACTCTGATTCATCTTCAGCTTGGCTTGGAGGTGGAGGTGGAGGAAATGGGAGAGGAATAACATCAGCATTGCGGAAAGGCGAATCAACAGGAAGATCAAGTTTTTTTTATCAGGGACATCCAACCAAGGGAAAATCCCCTGTTGCATGCCTGCCTAACTTGAAGCTTGTAATCCTCAGTGACGCCGGCCACACCCTGAGCATATGCCTTCTCATCAACCTCTTTGATTTCGGCTTCCTTTGTGGCCAAGGCTTCCTGAAGTTCCTTCTCGGCCTGGGCCGCTCTCGCCTCGGCCTCTTTTTTTTGGGATTCAGCAACTGTCTTGATGGCCTCAGCAGATTCAGCCTTTTCCTCGGCTAAGGTTTGGGCTTTGGTGGCAGCCTCGGCCTGATCCTCCAATTTTTTCATCTTTAATTCAAGAGATTTATTCTCCTTTTTGAGGGAAGAAACCTCCCTCCTCAGGTCGACCAGCTTCTCTCGATTCTGGAAAGATTGCATTGAAAATGAGTGGGCATGCTGGATGGCCTGAAAGAAAACAGAAGTGTTAGAAAATATTTTTAAGTACAAAATAGAATAGAAGAAAAAGTACTAAACAGGAACGCTTACTTGAACAGAGTGCTGGAGCATTAGGGCATAGTTCACATATTCACTATACCCGGCATTCCGCTCCAAATCACCAGGAAGGAGCAGCGCCGTAGTAAGGGCAACGCCGACATTAATGTCATCGGCGCTTTCATTGGTCATTATGGGCCTATCTTCCAGAGTAATCTAGGGAGCCCAAGGAACATCAGATTTTTTGGAGCCCGAGGTCGTCGCAGACGATGACCTCGGCTTCTTGGGTTGAGTAGATTGTGATGGCTGGGATTCTGCACGCCTCTTCCCAGCGGAAGGTTGAGATTTGCTGCTTTCAGCCAGCTTGGAGATGGGTAGAGCATCCTCAGCCTCAACCTCAGTAGCCTTGGCCTTAGGCTGGGCCTTCTTAGTTCTTTTTGGCTTCGGTGGGGGCAAAGGTTGGGATGGAACAGCATCGACGTCGGTTGGAAGATCGGCTAGGAGATCTTGGGCGACAGGCTTTGGGCGAACCATCTCGGCAGTTTTTACGAGTCTTCGCCGACGTTTTCTTTCTGG